CTGCGGGGAACTCTGCAAAAAACGCATCTTCGCACGGGCAGCCCGTGCGTTGGCCAATTATCTTTTGATTTGGTTTATCATTCTTACAAAGACAGGCTGAATGCTGGATGCGCTCCAAAATAGTTCAGGAACTAAAAGCAAAACTGGGCAGAAGTCCATGTTCTTAGCAAATGACTTTTAAGCAGTTGTAAAATTTTTGTACACTTTTTAGAACTTTTCAAATTCCTTATTAAAACATTTAGATACCGACACTTCAAGTGATGGAACTTTGGGAGAAAATCGCAAAAAAATTTCTTTTTTCATAATTTTTTCCTATACTTCACTCATACAGCACCCTCTGAGATCGAAGCGAGCAGTGTTAACCTGTGCAACTTATCGATGGTGCTTTCGATCAGCCGATACTTGAGTATAGCGTGCCGCAATGCGGCACTCATTTTGCTTGGCTCGGTGCCATAGAAGGCTCTCCAGGATGGCGAGTTATTTTGCAAACAGTTTGCATAGGACTGCGTCACCGATTTGCATGGACCCGTTGTAATACATAAGAATGTTGCAGGCATCAGCTGAACAAAGAAATTTTGGACAGATTTTTCCACTTCTTTTTCGATGCGTTGTGGCGAAATATCCTGAAACTGCAGTGGCTGTGCTGCTTCACCAAAAAATGACTGAATACAGCTCGAAATTGCAAACTGATCTCGCTTGATCAAAATGGCTTTCACTTTTTAGATTTATGCATGTTTTCCAAATATATTGTTGCAGATATGCAGTTGCAAAAACGCATATTCTGACGACTCCGGTGTGTGTGTTTGTATGTACATCTGCCAAAATATTTCAACTCGAAAACCAAGCAAGCTCTGGCGCCGAAATTTTGCCTATGGTTGTCCTAGAAGTGAGATACCAACTCTCGTGCACGCCCAGATCCCGTGTACGAATGCATGAAAGTTGCAGTGGGAAAATCGCCAACTCGGGAATCACAAAAGCTAGAAAGCTAAAATCTTGCGGTTATGGTCCCCGTCTACATGGGACTCAAAGATTTCAAATTCAGTCCGCAGGTATGTTTTGTTCCAGTGTACGGCCCGTGATGATTTCTGGTGGGAAAATCGCTAAATTGGGATCCAGGAAAGCTGGTAGGCTGACACTTTAAGGAGATGTTCCCAGCCCTGCACAGCTTATAAACTTCAAATTCAGTCCCAGCTATGCTGGTTTTCACGCACGGTTCTGTGAAGGTTTTTAGCAGGAAAGTGGCTAACTCTGGAACTAGAAAAGCTAGGAGGTTGAAATTTTAAGGGGGTATTCTCTGACCAAGTGCCATGTAGCTGCACAATTAAGTTTCTAAACTTCGAGGACCAACATGCCGTAAATTTTAGCTAAGGGGATTTCAAGCGGTCTTATAACAGCACGAAATACTGCAAAAACACACCATCGCATGGACCCGCCCGGTACGCTTCTCCAATGATTCTATGCAGCTCATTAACATTTATGACCATTTTTTTTGTTTTTCTTTTTCATCGAAAATACCAGCTCTTCAGCTAGTTCTTACGTAACTTTTATAGCTAAATTCTGCGTTTATTTTGATTATTTCGGTTCATTTTTAGTAGAATTAATTATTAACTGAATATTTCGCGCATTGACACGTTTCAGTATCTATTTTTAAACAGAAACGCTCACTGATGAAATCCTGTGTTTACTATATGTTCATCATGCATTTTGTGCTGTGTGACAGCAGTACAAAACGCATATTTTCACGAGGTTGTCTGTGTAAGTGTGTGTCGGCAGAAACTTGTCCACAACTTTCAACTCGGGAACCACAGAAGCTTGAAAGCTGAAAATTTAGGGGGAAGTTCCTCACTTACTTGTGACCCCACAAATTTAAATTCAGCCTTTCCTCACCAGCAGGTAACACGTGCGGCGCCGTAAAAGTTTTGGCGGGGAAAATTATTGTCTCGGGAACCAAGGAAGCTGGGAAACTGAAATTCTACGTATGAGTCCTTGCCCACATGCGACCCAGAAAATTTAAATTCAGCCTTCCTGTACCCACGGGTAACATATGTGGCCCCTTTGGCGAGTAAACTTGTGGCTAGTAAATTATTATCTCGGGAACCGCAAGACCTAGGAAGCTGAAATTTTGAGGTGGGAGGGGGAGGGGAAGGAAACCCTCAAGTTTAAATTCAGAGCAGTGAAAACTGTTACCAGGCAATCATTCGGTGGACAGCATTACACAAAACGTATGATCACACTGGCTGCCCTGTAGCGCGCCGCTATTTATTTATTTGTTTGTCCAGTTATTTCAGCCTTACGATCAAACAAGCTAGAGAAGTGCAAAATTAGTTTTACAGTCTGCTAAGCAGACAACTATAGCCTCAGTTACAGTGCATAACACAAGTCAAAAGTCGAAACTCGCTCCGTATCGCTATGAGATACGTAGGCAGTCAGGAAGTGGCCCAAACAGAAAATGCCTGACATAGCCAGCACCAATCCACATCAAAAAGAATGAACAAGCCGTAAGTAGAGAATCGAATCCCTGATCTACGGCATGATAAAAGTGTTATTTCTCACTGCGTCACACACGCCAACGCATGCGATCACATAACTACGAATCACGCGTCAGCCATTGTGAAGCTGCACATCAGCGCGATAAAACGCTACAATAAAAATGCCACTTTATGCGGCAATTACTAAAACTCGGCTTAACCCCGGCCATTTGAGACACCGTACGCTTTAATTTCATTCCCCGCAGACGCCTGGGTGCCACGTATGGATGTTTTAAAAAATATGCAGACTTTTTGGCGAGAAAACGATTTCGAGAACCAGACAAGGCAAAGGGCTAAAACTTGTAGGGAGGTTCCCTGTGCATGTATTAGCCAAAAATTTCAAACTCAGTTCCCAGATATGCGTGGTAGCGACGTGAGGGCATATGAAAGTTTTGGCGAGAAAATTACTAACTCGGGAACCAAGAAAGTTAGAAAGCCGATTTTGGGGGAATTTAAATATTTCAAATCTAGCCTTCAGCACATGAAAGATTAGGTGGTAGAATCGTTAATCGTTAACCAGGCAACCAAAAAAGCTGCAAGGCTGAAATGTTGGGGCAATGTTCCCTGTCCAGTTATAATTCAAGTATTTCAAATTCAGCCTTGAGGTATTCGTTCTTACGTACAGGCAATTAAAAGTTTTGGCGGAAAAATTTCTCACTGAACAGCTACGTTACTTTTAAAGAACGACCGTTAAGTGGAAACTGTACATTTATTTTACGCAAAATTTATGGTGATTTGTGCTTGTGACCGCAAAAGATAGGCGTAAAGCAATAATCATTCATGAAGTTAATGACCGAGTACTTCAGGTCTTGTGCAAAAATTCTTAATCGCATGGGCCCGCCTGGTGCTTTCCAGTTTGGCTTTCTTCCGAAACTTCACACAGTAAAGGTTGTCTTCGTCACCACAGATCGACTATACCCCCTCCTTTTGCTCAGTTCATATTCTGCAATGGAGCTTATTTGTTCTCAGCTTTACTTAAGCATCATTTTCATAGATGGGGAAGTCCACTACTGACGACGGGTTTTTATATGATAATTTCCACTCTTATGGGCTCAGTTCTTGTACTTTTATTAGTAGCTTCAAGTTCTTTTACTTAAATTTTCTTTTTTTTGCTTGTATTCACAGTCTCAGGTTTGCTATGATTTATTTTTCTTTGTAATGCTGTATTGTGTCCTCTTTACTGCTGTCTTCATTATCTCGAGCTCCTGACTTGCATCCTCGTCCCCCTTCTCTGACTGTCTTCAGATCCTGCTTGGAAAGCAACATCTGAGCTTCGGTTCATCCCCACTAAAACAGTATTCTGGAAGCAATCCATATTTCAGCTCTTTCCCTACTCCGGGTATCCGTGGCAAAAACCAGCAGCACACTTCATCCTCCTTTCCATTTCACCACCCTCTCACCCCCACTCCCCTCCACCTCCTTCCCCCCGAATGCGCATGAACTAGTCAATCGACACCATGTAGCCATTGAATCCACCTACCCAGTCCCCTTCCTTGCCTCGAACAGAACCTGCTGCAGCTCATCATCTTCACTTCCCACTCACAACATTTAAACTCCTCCCACTCACCGTGGTGGAGCAATCCACACTTCTATCGCCGAGAAAAAATTTTAGCAAATCGGATAAGGCGTCGGTCCGAGTCGAGTTTTAGTAATTGTCGTTCGTACCAGCTTAATGGTCGGCAATTACTAAAAT